AACTCCACGGCACATAGTTTCAAAAACATATATAAATATTTTAATTTATTGTGATTTGGGTGAAAGTTTACAGAGCAAATTCATTTTCCATACAGCAGTTCATACATATTTTTTCTCATGACATGGACTGCAATCCCTACAATGGAACAGCTCTCTTCCTACTTCCCATAGTTACTTCTTCCCTGTGTTTTTTCTTCCCATGCATACTGCCTCCCTCCCTGCAGCTGTCTTCCTGTGCAAATATTGCCCTTATATTCTCCCATGATTGATCCCTCCAAGGAGTGTATCTACCTGATGCAAATGTTCAGCCCATATGCCTGTCTTTTATTTAGCTAGAAGCCACATGAGTGAGCTCCATTCCAGACCTGAAGGGTGCCTAGGGGCCAGAGCCTCAGGGGTCTCACCAGGCTCTATCAGACCAGCAAACCTGTTTTTTTTTAAATTGACGATTTTCAGTTTTGTTCCACATTGTTCTCCCTCTCTATCCAGGATCTCCTGCACTGATCCCCCTCTGAGTGGTTGACAGTGGTAGCTGGGCACCATCTAGTTCTTCTGGTCTCATGGTCATATAGCATGGTCTAGTGGTCCACTGAACTAATTGTTTCTATGCATCTTTGGTTTTCTTCATTCTTCTTTGCTCTGGACAAGGCAAAAATGTATTTTGAAATTGAGTCTTCAATGTAGGCTTAAGGTACACCATTACATCACATCATGTCCCCTTACTTACAGGTATTTAAGATGTTTTCACAGGCAGCTAAGGTAATATTGCCAGACTGCTATCTAACAAGGTTAGTGGATACTGGGGTAAGCCTCAGGAAACTGAGAAGTACATGCCTATTACACCAGTTCTGCTGTATCAGCTGCCTCAGACAGTGCTGGCTCTTGGAGCCTTCTAATCAGCTGTGCAGGAAGGTCTCTGATCTGCTTGGGATCAGAGTCTCATGTGCTTTAGAGTTCCCTGGAAAGGAAGCTTCACAGTGGCTGGGGACTTGACCAGGGCAACCCCAGGGGCCTGGAAGACTGCCCAGCAGGTAGGAGACACTTGAGAAAAGTATCTGGTGATGGATGAATACCAAAAGGCTGGTCCAGAGGCTGAGGTTCTGTTTTAAGAATTGGGCTCTGGATTCTTATTCTTACACAGACTCACTTCTCTGAAAAGGGCAGCATGGGCACCT